ATCCTTAATAGATGTGTCTTTTTATGTAGATCAGATTGCAAAATCTTTATTGTGAGAAAATTAATAAATTGTTAAAAAAATATTGTGTCCAGATTTTTTTATTATAATTATGTTACCAAAAATATTTGAAATAGTTACTTAATTTATAATTAAAGATTCAAACAGTAAGTTTTAATTATTGCATGGTATTTAAATAAGTATCTTTTCGTGGACATTTTATATATAAATAGTCAGGAAATGTATAGGACTTATTAATTAGTGTTAAGAATTTACATTTAAGTGGTCAGGAAATGTAATTAACTAATGAATTAGTGTTTTAAACTGATTGTAATAATTATAGTCATGTTGAGACACGTTGATACATGACCTATGCATCACAGTCTCTGACGTCATGGCCACATAGCACAGCGTCTCTAGCAACACATCCTCTGGTGGAACTATGATGCAACCGTCCGTCATGGTTGTCTTGTCATGGCGGCCTAATAACACGCCCTGGTGACATTTGATGGAACTATGACGTCATCATCTCCCCTTATTTCTCTCTCCGAAGTCGACATGCATATAGCGCCCTCTGGTAGCTCGTTTGAAGCCTCGCCCTAACTACTATTTGTTGATATGAAACCATATGACATTTCAGTACAGTAATTTATTTGTTCTCCGTATATGTTTCAAATATCGCTTGGTAGGTTTCTTATGTGATATACGTTATCAAAGTCTGTGGGATTTAGAATGAAACGTTTTTATACTTGCTACTAGAAATATTAACACAGAAGAGCATGATGCCTTATTATATATCTATCTGTTTCTGATGAAAGTTTCCCACTTGTCATCCTCTGATTATTATGAAACTTTCAGTGGTTATTGGTTATGTCTATGAGGGATTCTCAAACCCATTTTCTCATTTTTACGAGTTTGATACTCATTTCAGTTATCCGCCTTCCTACTGCTTTAGTGACTACTTTCAGAATGCTAATCGCCAGGAAACTTTCAGGTGCTCTTGGGTCTCAAGGATATCTAGAGGAACAAGGTATATAATATGTCGAAAATACTTACACTATTATTAAGAAACTAGCCAGAAGGGGTGAGTTTTAGACAATTTTATGCCAGTATTTAGTATATTTGCATGGTGAATGACGCATACGCACGCCATGAAGACAATATAATAAATGTCGCGCATAGCATGGGAGATTTACTGAAAGATTTAATGCCAATAAACACATATTCTAAACCTATTTCTTGTCCGAAAAATAATACTTTTATTCTAATCTATCATAACTGCATACTGTGAAGTGCTGCGTATTTTATAGCTGTTGGATAGATTTCCTCATAAGCTTACTTTACACAGTGAAATGTATATTTAGTTCGCTAAGCACTTAATGCATGTGTATATTTGTGCGTACGTCTGTGTAAGAGTGACTTGCATGCATTTTAATGCTTCTGCATCAGAAATGCTACTCGATCTTTTAATAAACCATGTTGTATGTTCAATGTCTTTCTTACAGCACACAGAAATTCATTTAACTGGAATGAATTCTCAAGGTGGGCACAATGATATATGAAGGGTTTAAAGTGGCTGTTTATGTCTCATTAGTGTTATCTATTTTCCAAGCCTCATGATATCAGAGAACTATATCGTTGAATGAATGAGTTGCGTTTTGAGTCTTATTTTATAAGTATTCACTCTTTCGTATGAAATAAAGTCCAGAGTTTTGTTTACACATCCGCGAACATTGTTCTCAGTGAGTTATGACTAAGAAGATTGTATTAAACATTTTCAATACTAAATTAATCTCGATGAAGGGATTTTAAACCAACCAGTGTTAAATATATTTTAATGCAAAGAGTTGTGATTTATGGAATTTCGTACAAAGTTACTCGAGGGTTATATGCGTTAGCCGTCCCAATTATGAAGTGATAGACTAAAGAGGAGGCAGCTAGTCAAAGTAACCCACCGCCAATTCGTGAGCTACTCTAATTCAATAGTGGGATTTGACCGTCACTTTTATAACGCATCTGTGACTCCAAAATGCGAATCGCTAATTTCTTTCAGCGTTAACAGCGCAAATACCACGGAGCCTTAGATCTACAGTCCAACACTAACCATTGAATCACTCTCAGCTCAGTGCGTTCTTTTGTTTGCTTGAAGTTAAACATAACGCTACACATTGGGCTATCTGTGCTCTGCCCACCACGGGTATCGAAACCCGGTTTTTAGCGTTATAATTCCGCAGACATACCGCTGTGCCACTGTGGGGACCAGCTCAGTGCAAAGAGAGGGAGAATAGGCCATTTGAACACCCTTTATATTACATGTTTATTGCCATTATAACATTTATTAAGTTGGTTAACAGGTTTTATGCCCACAAATAAAAAACAGGATTTTTTGCATAAACAAAGCATGATTCATTTTACCATGCTATTATGTTACAAGCTTCGGTCCTTGTCAAGGTAGCTTAAGAAGCGTACAGAATAGCACTTAAAGTAACATCAACGAATTCCTACAAAAAATACAATTGTTGGACAAATGTAGGAAAATGAATATGTTCTACTTTAGACATATAATTAGATCTGAGGAAAATGAAATGAAGAAGAACAAGAGGAAAGCAGACACTCATTTAGCTTGATGACATTGGTAAATGGATTGGAGATGAGAGCTTGAATTAGGAAAGTTGATAATGACAGCGAGGAGTAGAGAACAATCGAGAACCATAGTCGTTGACCCTCAAAATTAGGAAGGACATCGTGATTGATTGTCTGATAAAGACTTTCTCCAAACTTATAAAATTTACTGTAAATTTTGTATATTGGAAACTGGTGGCCAAATATTGGAAATAGAAGGTAAATTGTTTATGAAAATAAAACGTACAAATAGCACATGTCTAATGATTTAACACATGAAATTTTAACGGAAATAATAACTTTGTTTTTTTTTTTGTTGGAGTAATATCAGTAACACCTTAGGCAAGGTTTCATAATGTTTTGACATTTATAGACGCTTTTATGTGTTCTACTGTTCAACTTAGAATCACACTTCTCCACAGTTACTGTACAATGCAGTAACGTTTTGTGTTCATTGTAATTTTTCGTTTTACTATCTGGCATTCAGAAACTGGCCTATTTGTGTAATGTACAATGAAGTCTTGAAATTGTTTTACTAAATGAACCGTTTATCAATATTATGCTTAAGTATGCTGTTTTAAGTCTTGAAACTGTAAAAGTGTTATTTTACGAAACTGACATTTTCTTGGAGCAAAAGCTTTGTGTGATGTCTTGACAGATGTGGAACTATATTATTAGTCAGAGTTCCTTAGGGCACTGATTAGGTGTTTGAGGTTTGAGAAACTCAATGGGGTGAATTACACAAGCCTGCGATGGTTTTGTCTTGAAATTTTTACATGTTCTGCAGTAACTTCTGTACGCTGAATCCGAAAATGATATCCATTTTCTCCATCATATACATATATTTCACAAAACGTCATAACGCAATACATAAAAGAAAGACCACAACACGTAGTTTTGAGAGTAAAAGACGTAGATTTCACAAAAATCAGGATGAATGATATGCATATTCGTTTGATATCAATGTTTTTCCCTTTTCTTCAGTTTGTTTGTATTTTTTGTTAACAAACATCATAATAATATTATTATATTCGAAATCTGCTTAGTTGAATCATGGAAAATCCGTTATTAAAACCAAAACAATTTTTATGAAGTAGTTGATATAGTGTGAGCATTGTGTTTAGTACTTACCGTGTTTTATTACATGATGAGACTGAAAAAAAAATATATTTTTTTAAAAACACACACCGCTGTTTATAACATCGTGAACGAAGCTCAGACTTTCCGGTTAAATTATAGAAAAATGGTATATCAATTCAACGTTTGAATCATACTCACTCAACAGATTTACGTGAGCCACGATACACTGTATAGTTGTTTTCATACTGGCATTATGACGTGAAAGAAAATTGTTCAAACGTAACACTATTCAGATCTTCCTTTCAAACGATTTAATATTATTCCTATGATAGATTTGGACATCTTTCTGGCGACGGTTCGGAAAGAGAAGCTTGTCATACATTATTATACAGAAGTTAGAACATTCTGTACTCAACTTTTCTAATCTTTCATACGTTTTAAGTATATCGAAAATCATACATTAATTAACTTTTTATTATTATATGTGTACATTTTATGTAGCATTGTGATCAAATGTTCTTATTTCATTTTTTATGACTATATAATATTATATTTAAATTGTACTATATAGACATTGTGTGCATAGAATTGAACAATCCAAGAATATTCAAAGTACAAGTCTTATGCACTAGTCAATATGTTCAGATATAAAAGGTCTACTGAAAGTTTGTTATTAAATTCAAAAGAGATCGCAATGCCTTGTTCACTATTTTAGATAGATTTTCATGGTGCATCCATATGGAAGTCACTTCTTTCTCATGGTGAACTTGCTACATTTTGAATCGAGTATCCGAGTTTCTAAAAATACATATCAATAAAATACATTCATTCAGAGAAACAGATTTTTCCAGAAATTCAACTTTCATGAAATACTCCAAGAGAAACCGCTATTTCGAAAAAGACGCACATATAAGAAACATTCAGAGTAACCGAGTCGCCTAAAATATATTCATAAGATAAATTTAAAGTAAATGACTATCAAAACTTCTTTTTATGAAACTCTCAATATAAGTGTTATAAAAGCGGTTGCTTTGTGACACATTCTGAGAAAATAAAAACATTTCTGAAAAAATTGAGAAACGTTTCCTGTATGATACGTTTAGAGTTACCACTTTCCATTTCAAAGTAAGCCCAACTAAAGATAAAATCACTTTATCAATATCTAAAGTAACCCTATTGTTGAGTACACCTTAAAAACTAGAGAGAATGGAGAGCGAAAGAGACGTTTTTTATTTTGTATACTGAGCTAAAACGTTAAATCTTATATTATATAAATTCAATACTCGATTTGTTATACCTACATTTCACATAGAGCATAAGTCTCTTGCTGACGGAAGGAGGTACACCATTTACAGCAATACAAAGATATGCTCCAGAGTGCTCTCTGGTGATGTTGACGAGAACTAAATGTTCACCTTCGTAACTGTTCACTGCAATATAAAAATCCTGTCACTATTTTTGTTGTTTACGTTAACAAGATATCAAATGAAAAGAACTAGCATTTACGATGCTTTTATACAACAGATATCAACTTAATACATTAAACTTTAATTGTTTTCTTAACTTGACATTTGACATAAATTAGAATTATCTACGTATTTTCTGCGTTAAAAACATTAAAATTAATATTATGATCGTGCATTATATACTTTTATAACTATAGTAGTTTGATTACTAAATATACCTCATGACGTTGTTGATGTAGTTTTACCAAACGAACCGTTAGTTTTTCTAGTCTTTTCATCTGGTTTCATTTAGAAGCGGGACGTAGATCGCAGAAACGTCAATAGTAACGACTGAATGAATACCAGTTAGATAAATACTTAAAAGAACCATTTATCCTGTAGTCAGTCATGATATTCCCTCCTGGGAACGTGTGTATTTTTCATACACAAACTATCGTATTCTAGTAATAAAATCAATTTTTATTTATTTAACTATTTTGTAGTTTAATTGGTAGATTTTTAACAAACTAAAACGAAAAAAGTGGCAGTATTAAGTCCGTTTATTCTTTTGTTTTAGACAATAATTAAACAGATTGTATTTGAATTGAACAAAAAGTTAGGGTGACAATCCATTAAGTAACGACGTTTTGTGAAATTATAAAAAAAATATTTTAAAATCATGAAATTAAAAACTGTTGCCAAAGGATTGCAGGAAAAAAAAGGCAAATTTACAGATTCTATTTTAGCATGTCCGATTTATATGGGAATTTGTACCTTAGAGTATAAATACACATTTATTTAGTTCTTACAGTCTAAAGTAAAAACAATAAAAGACAAAATAACATAAGGAACACAAGTATACAATTACCAAAAAAGTATGCAGTGAAGCATTATTAATTGACTTAACTGTTTGTTTAGTATTTTGTTGCTAGACTAGTATTAAACTTACCTATCACTTTTTGTTTTTAATGGTTCACTGTTAATTTAACAACAATGGAACACCAAACTCCTAGAATTTTTAACACTGTTTATGCCATGCAGTACATGTGTTCAGCAATGTTTTGAGAAAGTTAACATCCAATACGCTCCCTTAGCTAACCTAAAGCTCTTATTTGGATCCAAATTAATCGCTCTGGGATGTTCTAATATAGTACCTGAAGAATTGGTAAGACATAGAATATACAGAAATACTCACGAATCAACCTTATATAATATACATTTAGAATTTTATTTAAAAACCAACCAACGGTCCTAAATAAACGCACACTACGTATTTCCACGTCATTCACATCATCCCCATGAATGTCAAAAACAAATGGTGTGCAACATATAAATACAATAAAGTCATTGTCGTGTGACTACTAGTTTACATGTTGAATAAAGATGACGCCATTTACTTACTTTCTCATTTTCTAACACTTCATTAAAAATTTACTAATACTAAATCGACTAAATATCCTATCAATGTGGGGGATAGTATCACAGAATATTTATAAATTTTATTATCAGGAATTATATTTTTCTGAAAAGAATTAGATTGATTTGATTAGGTTTATTACTTTCCAAAATTGACCACAGAGAAAGTTTATTTCATTTACGTAAGATTTAAAAATAAACAATCTAACCCTACGATGTAATTAATAAACAACTTAGTCCGACTATGTAATTCATATTTTACATAAAAAGACATACATTTGCTCTCTGTTCAAAGTTAATGCATAATTCGTGCAGAGCAGTTGGACCCAGTTGCTTACAAGTGACTTACTTGCTATACTGCGGTAGAGCGTATTGCGTGGAAAAATTCACGCTTGAAAAGATGATGCTACTTACTGCCAAATATATATTTCAGGAATTATAATAAATTATAAGTAACTGTCTTCAACTTTTAATAGGCGCTCTTTATTACACAAAACGTGTTTAATGTAATTAGATTGGATTGTAAAGTACGCTCTGTAATATTAGTAAAAAGTTACTGCTAATAACCATGCTGTTGTTAGGTAAGTAGGAAAATACATAATACACGTTCTGAAACCTTAATGCTCCTTGGAGGTTTGATTGATATAATGCAAACATACTACAGATGAAACTTTTTTTACCAGTTAAGTATTCTTACAGTGTAGTTGTTGTACAGTTGTTCACTTAAAATTATCAGAATGGACGGTAACATTATTTTACATATCTAATACGGTAAATTATTAGAAAATTACAGCAGATAAATTCTCTATCACACCTTTAATTTTTAAACATAACAAAAGAATGGACGTTTATTCAAAATTCAATCTACGAAACACTTTTCTTAGGTTTCCATAGTTAAGTATTTTTTTGCTCCCCAGTGGCACAGCAGTATATCTGTAGGCTTATAACGCTAAAATCCATATTTCGATACCCGTGGTGGGCAGAGAACAGATAACTCATTGTGTGACTTTGCGCTTAACAACAAACAAACAAACAAAATAGTATTTCCTTTTTAAAACATTTGGTTTTGTTAATATTTCGATCAAAAATAATTCAGGTAGTATTCATTGGTAGAGATTTGTGATTTTTGAGATAGTATCCATCTGGAGCGCCATAGTTTCCACATGGTATTCACTTCTAATTATTGTTTTTTGACACGAATCAGCTGGAGATCCATCATTTTCCAGTATCCAACTAGGACTATCAGTTTTATAAGTAATATGCAGCTGGAGCTCTTCAAGTTTGCAAATAATGTACAGCTAAAGTTTCTACATATAGTATACAGCTGGGGCTCCATCGTTTTTCTAGGTAGAGTTAATCTGGAGTTCTTTGGCTTTCCAGATAATGTGCAGACACGGTCCTTGGCTCTCCAGTAAGATTTAAACCTGAACTCCATGTTATCAGAAGTGGTGTGCAGTGGTCTTCTTAGTTTATAATGATCTGCTAAACTACCCTGGGTTTATATATTCAGTTGATGTGACCACCTCAATCTCTATGGCTTCTTAAATAATGTTCATGTGGAGTTTCATGTTTTTTCATATAGTATGTCTGTAACTCTTTGGTTTTTTTACCATATTTGCCCGATTATAAAGCGATGTATTTTGATTAACAATTAGGCTGTAAAATTCATAGTCGCCTTATAATCACGACCGACCACGAGCCCCTTACCCTTACTCTAATCTGTCACATTCCTGAATTTTCAGATAGCACCCGTCTACGCATATGCAGCAGATGTTTGCTCAAGGGCATCGCTTATTTTTGCAACTAATCCACCTGAAGGCTGTTCAGTTATTGTATTGATTTTGTGGACCTAAAAAAGAACGTTATGACACTCAATCTTTTCTTTCTCATGGTTTCTGAAAACGGAGATAGCTCTATAATTGGGCCAATACGATAAATAGTGTCTGTCTAAACACTTTTTATTGTTCCAACTTTATTGACTTTATGAGCCAACTGTCAACTTTTCGGCTGATTTTATGATAATCTCTCTATATATAAAGCAAAAAAAAAAAAATCTCTGTGTCTGTCTGTTTGTCCGTTAAGTAACTACTCCTAGGTCCCTGGGTTAACTTCAACCAAATATTGTAAAATAGTTTTAAACAAGGGGCGTGTTAATAAAGTTTAACGACCCGCCTCCCCATTATTCATTATTGAGCATTTATTATCTTTGTTCCAAGTTAACGTTAACTACATTCATAGATGGCGCTACGTACTTAAACACAAAATACACAAAGTGTGGGGGAGGGAACACGAATGCCATATATATCTCATAGAGTGCGCCAGCACTCCCTATAGAGGAATGCAATGAAAAAATGTCCGTAACTATTGCAATAATATATAATCTCAGCTGAAGTTTCTACTCCAACGGCCACCATAAGGCTGATATGAAGAGCCGTTTTTTGAGTTATGCGCACTTCCTACTTTGACCCGTGACGTTTCAATTTCGGCCTGTAAGACACTTCTGCGGCCAATGACCGTCAAATAATTAATCACGTGAAACATTGTTAAAGAACATTAAGAGCTGTATGTTGAAAGAGAGTAACAGAAAGCACTCCTACCGTCACTACTTTGGCCGATACTTCTTAATAGAAAGTCACTCTGACTATCACACAGTGTATAATATGTTTTAAGTATATGCATACTGAGTTCTTAAATCTTATACAAAACTTTGGGTGAGGTAATAATGAATACCGTAATAATGTGTTATGTAATCAATAAATTGTGCGAAAGTCTGTATTTTTGTGTTATTTTATCATAGCATCCACCCACACATTTTTTAAAGTTCATAACCTGAACAAAGAAGGTACCTCAGCTTGTAGAATATATTTCTAAATAAGTGCTTGAACATAGAAGCTATTTCATATTCATATATAATATGGAAGAATGGCCTAGACGTCATACGTCAAAACTTTCAAATGTGAAAACCTGATACATCCATTAGTACATATACAGGTGGACCATAAGGAAGCCTACCAGATTAATGAATCATTGTTTGATTCAATCAGATGTGCAATATCATTTGTCGTTCTTATAACCACCCAAAGGTGACTGAATAAGTTTTATGTCATTTTACAAGACACTTTCCTTTCTTACAACAATTATTCAAAGTGTTTTTCTTCGTTGAATGGCAGAGTGACAGATTTAATTGTAAAATGGTGCATCAGTATTTGTAAATTCCTCTTGAAGATAAGTTTTATCGTCTTAATATTTGCAGGTTTGAGTGCATAAACTCGTTATTTTATTATACCCTTAACTGGAAAACAAATCTTTCGTAAACATACTTATGGGTCATTCTGCATTTGTACAAATACCGTGAATAAAGCAACAATTTACTTGATTAAATGGCGCCAGACTTAGGAAAAGAGAAGCTTATGGTAAATAATCGTAGATTTTAGAAGCAAGAAAATATTAGCCGAACTTATATATTTTTTAATCTATTGATAAAGATTTCTTTAAGAAATAAGTGGATGAGATATAATCTGTATACACAAAAAGTCATCAGGTGAGTCAGCGGTAAGTTTATGAACTTA